CAGACAAGCCAAATCGAGATTGAAATAAAACGAAAGATATTTGCCAACTGATGTCCTAGGATAGACATTAAACGACCAATGGAACAGGACCAGACAAAAATCGAGATTGAAATGGCGATATTTGCCAACCGATGTCTCAGGATCATCCTCAATATCAGGTGACCAACACGACCACCTGTGGAACAGGACCAGACAAACCCAAATCGAGATTGACATTATAAAACGGAAATGGGGATATTTACCAACCGATGTCCTAGGATCATCCTCAATATCATGTGGCCAACACGACTAACTGTGGAACAGGACAAGACAAGCCTAAAACGAGATTGACATTATAAAACGGAAATGGTGATATTTACCAACCGATGTCTCAGGATCATCCTCAATATCAGGTGGCCAGAACGACCAACTGTGGAACAGGACCAGACAAGCCCAGATCGAGATTGACATTATAAAACGGAAATGGTGATATTTACCAACCGATGTCTCAGGATGTCTCATTATAAAACGGAATGGCGATATTTGCCAACCGATCAGGATCATCCTCAATATCAGGTGGCCAGAACGACCAACTGTGGAACAGGACCAGACAAGCCCAAATCGAGATTGACATTATAAAACGGAAATGGCGATATTTACCAACCGATGTCTCAGGATCATCCTCAATATCAGGTGGCCAGAACGACCAACTGTGGAACAGGACCAGACAAGCCCAAATCGAGATTGACATTATAAAACGGAAATGGCGATATTTGCCAACCGATGTCTCAGGATCATCCTCAATATCAGGTGGCCAACACGACCAACTGTGGAACAGGACCAAACAAGCCCAAATCGAGATTGACATTATAAAACGGAAATGGCGATATTTGCCAACCGATGTCTCAGGATCATCCTCAATATCAGGTGGCCAACACGACCAACTGTGGAACAGGACCAGACAAGCCCAAATCGAGATTGACATTATAAAACGGAAATGGCGATATTTGCCAACCGATGTCTCAGGATCATCCTCAATATCAGGTGGCCAGAACGACCAACTGTGGAACAGGACCAGACAAGCCCAAATCGAGATTGACATTATAAAACGGGAATGGCGATATTTGCCAAACGATGTCTCAGTATCATCCTCAATATCAGGTGGCCAGACCGACCAACTGTGGAACAGGACCAGACAAGCCCAAATCGAGATTGACATTATAAAACGGAAATGGCGATATTCACCAACCGATGTCTCAGGATCATCCTCAATATCAGGTGCCAACACGACCAGAACAGGACCAACAAGCCCAAATCGAGATTGACATTATAAAACGGAAAGGACCAACCGACAGGATCATCCTCAAATCGAGATTGACATTGACATTAAAACGGAAATGGCGATATTTACCAACCGATGTCTCAGGATCATCCTCAATATCAGGTGGCCAGAACGACCAACTGTAAAACGGAACAGGACCAGACAAGCCCAAATCGAGATTGACATTATAAAACGGAAATGGCGATATTTGCCAACCGATGTCTCAGGATCATCCTCAATATCAGGTGGCCAGAACGACCAACTGTGGAACAGGACCAGACAAGCCCAAATCGAGATTGACATTATAAAACGGAAATGGCGATATTTGCCAACCGATGTCTCAGGATCATCCTCGAGATTGAATATCAGGTGGCCAATATCAGGTACAACACGACCAACTGTGGAACAGGACCAGACAAGCCCAAATCGAGATTGACATTATAAAACGGAAATGGCGATGATGTTCAGGATCATCCTCAATATCGATGAACCAACTGTGGAACAGGATCAGACAAGCCCAAATCGAGATTGACATTATAAAACGGAAATGGCGATATTTGCCAACCGATGTCTCAGGATCGACTCAATATCAGGTGGCCTGAACGAACAACTGTGGAACAGGACCAGACAAACCCAAATCGAGATTGACATTATAAAACGGAAATGGCGATATTTACCAACCGATGTCTCAGGATCATCCTCAATATCAGGTGGCCAGAACGACCAACTGTGGAACAGGACCAGACAAGCCCAAATCGAGATTGACATTATAAAACGGAAATGGCGATATTTGCCAACCGATGTCTCAGGATCATCCTCAATATCAGGTGGCCAACACGACCAACTGTGGAACAGGGACCAGACAAGCCCAAATCAGGAGATTGACAATTACAAAACGGAAATGGCGATATTTTGGCCAACCGATGTCTCAGGATCATCCTCAATATCAGGTGGCCAAACGACCAACTGTGGAACAGGACCAGACAAACCCAAATCGAGATTGACATTATAAAACGGAAATGGCGATATTCACCAACCGATGTCTCAGGATCATCCTCAATATCAGGTGGAACAGGACCCAAACACGACCAAAACGGAAATGGCGATATTTGCCAACCGATGTCTCAGGAACCAACTGTGAACAGGACCGAGATTGACATTATAAAACGGAAACCAATATCAGGTGGCCAGAACGAAATCGAGATTGACATTATTATAAAACGGAAATGGCGATATTTGCCAACCGATGTCTCAGGATCATCCTCAATATCAGGTGGCCAACACGACCAACTGTGGAACAGGACCAGACAAGCCCAAATCGAGATTGACATTATAAAACGGAAATGGCGATATTTACCAACCGATGTCTCAGGATCATCCTCAATATCAGGTGGCCAAGAACGACCAACTGTGGAACAGGACCAGACAAGCCCAAATCGAGATTGACATTATAAAACGGAAATGGCGATATTTACCAACCGATGTCTCAGGATCATCCTCAATATCAGGTGGCCAGAACGACCAACTGTGGAACAGGACCAGACAAGCCCAAATCGAGATTGACATTATAAAACGGAAATGGCGATATTTACCAACCGATGTCTCAGGATCATCCTCAATATCAGGTGGCCAGAACGACCAACTGTGGAACAGGACCAGACAATTGACCCAAATCGAGATTGACATTATAAAACGGAAATGGCGCCCAAATCGAGATTGACATTATAAAACGGAAAACCAACCGATGTCTCAGGATCATCCTCAATATCAGGTGGCCAGAACGACCAACTGTGGAACAGGACCAGACAAGCCCAAATCGAGATTGACATTATAAAACGGAAATGGCGATATTTGCCAACCGATGTCTCAGGATCATCCTCAATATCAGGTGGCCAGAACGACCAACTGTGGAACAGGACCAGACAAGCCCAAATCGAGATTTTTGACATTATAAAACGGAAATCATCCTGATATGGCCAGAACCAACCGATGTCTCAGGATCATCCTCAATATCAAGGTGGCCAAGAACGACCAACTGTGGAACAGGACCAGACAAGCCCAAATCGAGATTGACATTATAAAACGGAAATGGCGATATTTGCCAACCGATGTCTCAGGATCATCCTCAATATCAGGTGGCCAGAACGACCAACTGTGGAACAGGACCAGACAAGCCCAAATCGAGATTGACATTATAAAACGGAAATGGCGATATTTACCAACCGATGTCTCAGGATCATCCTCAGTATCAGGTGGCCAGAACGACCAACTGTGGAATAGGACCAGACAAGCCTAAAAACGAGATTGGACATTATAAAACGGAAACGACCAACGATGTCTGGAATAGGACCAGACAAAGCCTAAAACGAGATTGACATTATAAAACGGAAATGGTGATATTTACCAACCGATGTCTCAGGATCATCCTCAATATCAGGTGGCCAGAACGACCAACTGTGGAACAGGACCAGACAAGCCCAAAACGAGATTGACATTATAAAAAAATGGAAATGGATCATCAATATCGGAAATGGTGCCAACCGATGTGGAACACGACCAAGGACCAGACAAGCCCAAATCGAGATTGACATTATAAAACGGAAATGGCGCATTTTGCCAACCGATGTCTCAGGATCATCCTCAATATCAGGTGGCCAGAACGACCAAGGAACTGGACCAGACAAGCCCAAATCGAGATTGACATTATAAAACGGAAATGGAAATTTGCCAACCAATGTCTCAGGATATTTACCAACAGGACCAGACAATGTGACTAAAACGGAAAGGATCAGGATCATCCTCAATATCAGGTGGCCAGAACGACCAACTGTGGAACAGGACCAGACAAGCCCAAATGGAGATTGACATTATAAAATGGAAATGGGAATATTTACCAACCGATGTCTCAGGATCATCCTCAATATCAGGTGGGCAACACGATCAACTGTGGAATAGGACCAGACAAACCCAAATTGATTGACATTATAAAACGGAAATTGGATTTACCAACCGATGTCTCAGGATCAAATATCAGGTACAACACGACCAACTATAATGTCATTTTTTTCTTAAGCCGAAAACGTGGGATTAAAAATATGTATCAATATAATGATTTTTTTCTTCGTTTAATGATAATGTTCTTAAGCTTATCAGACGTTATGAAAAGAATTTACATAAAATAGACAAAACTTGTATATATTATTTAATGAAACACGTATGAATATATATATGCATATATATATATATATATATATAGAGAGAGAGAGAGAGAAAGAGATAGATAGATAGATAGATAGATAGATAGATAGATAGATAGATAGATAGATAGATAGATATTACTACTCGTGCATTCTTAACGCATTTACATATATATATATATATTACTACTCATGCATTTTTAACGCATTTACCAATTTAAAGGCTTCAGCTGGCCCCAGGATGTTCTAAACGCTCCCAGAAAGTTCAAGAAGTCTCCAGAACATCTTAGTATTATTATACTTATATACAGTTTTGAAATTTCCTGTAGCTGGTGACATTTAAAAAAATAATAAACTGAATTAAACCATTCTCCATTATCTTTTAACAAAAGTTTATCGAATTATGGTACAGGAAATCAATGATTTTACAAAAAGTCCATGACACTATTATATATATACTCATATATGATTATATTTATTTAAATTTATATTTAGCCAGCTCG